TTATAGGATTGTAGAGCAGGTAAATATAAAACTATAATCTCACAGTGGTAATTTTTATCACATAAACAAGTTCATGTTTATGAGCCTTTTAATCATTTAGTGTGGTTGTGCTTTGTTTTGTATTTTTCATGTGTAACAAAGAACACCTAACCAATGTGATCTTTAAAAAAAAAAATTGAACCCTTGATAACACTAAAAACAGCGAGACTTTTAAATCCTCCAGAATGTGAAAGGCTACCTGGGGATTATAACTAATGCATTTGACTCTTATGACTTGCTGATTCCACTGACAGCCACCCCGGGGGTACAGCCCTAATCAATGGCTTTATCCACTTGGCGATCTATACCTCAGAAACACAGACTGGAGGAAACCTCAATGTGTAAAGGAGACCTATAAATCAGAATGCCAAGTGACATAGCTTCATTTTAAAAGCTAGTGTTTAGAGATGATTGGATAAGATATTCCATGGACACAAATTTATGCTCTTCAGACCCTGACAGAATCCCACCCTGCCCCTGTTATTTTTATCTAACAACAGGAATGAGAAGGGGGAGAAAGGAGAGAGAGCTGGCCCCTCTCTCCTTTCTGGGTGGTTTAAATGACTTCAAGTTGACTTCCTTGGCTAATGCTGGCCGCGGGATCTTTTGTTTTTAAGTTTGCGTGTCTGTATATGTGTGGAGACGATGTGTATTGTCAACTTCAAACCAAGCAGTGCCCAACGGGCTGCCAGTTTCCTCTGCATCGATATTTACACGCCCAACTGGGGCTTCTGGCTCACAAGAATCAATATAATAGCAAACAAAGCGAGGCTCGTGGAAAAATGCTACTTCTGGAGAGTTCGTTTCATTCCTTTCTCCCATATGGCACAAGCGTATCCGTCATATACGTTTGAAGTTTACTACTTAGTATTCCCTTCCTTGGAAAAGCTCCTAAGGGTCCTTGTTAAAGGTCAGAACCCGGGACACCTGCATCAGTGGAGGCTGAGGATCTTTTTGAAAATGAAGGACAAATAATCACCCGCTCCCAGGGGCTTCTCCTAGGTAGACCTGTCCCAGGAAATAATCCACAGGGATTCCTGTGCCATTGGGAGTCACAAATCCCAGGTAGACAAGTCAGGAGCTAGCTTCAGTAAGGAATTAGGCTATACATTCAAAGATGTAAGCTATACATTCAAGCTATACATTCAAGCCCCACTCTGAAAATAGCTGTAAGTCTGGGAATGTGTAAGAGAAAGCATGTCACATGAGCACAGAAGTGTCACCTCCCTGGTTGGCATGTGACGCAGAATGTGTTTCCGTGAGGTGTGTAAGAGGGCTGCATACTAGACCATACACACCCATGTTAGAACAGCTTCATGGATCCTATCCACACTGAATTCCCACTGCTCGAAGAGCGGAACACCATACTCTGTATGCTTTGTGTAGGGCAGTGACTTCGCAGAAAGGGAACTGGTATTTTTCTGGATTCTAAACAAACGTTTTTTGGAAAAAGAAAGAGATCTCTGCGCTTAGGAACTTGCAAATTTCCGCGTAAAAGGAAAAGGGTTGCCTTCAAAGATGATGTCGAAAGAAGTCACAAAATGCGCACACCGGCCGGTAGACAGAGCACAAAATATTGCCTGGGTAACTCGGGGGGCAGCAGAGATGCAAGGAGACCTTGCTCAGTAGCTGCCAGCTATATAAAGACACATCCAGCTCATTCTGGATTACCTCTGCTCCTGCTGAGTTAATCCCATAATTGACATCCGAGAGCTCACCTGTAAATTATTTTCACACTTCACCAAAGAGTTCACCTGGGTTCCCGCCTTCCTCGACACCCCTCCCCAGCCCTACATCAGAAGATCTAACACAGATATTACAATTCACTTTCTGATACGCTCTCCTCAGAGCTATCCTCAATAAGACAAGGGACAAAAGAGCTACCAGACTCTGCTTTGGCAAAGATAAAATTTTACACTTAAGAAAAACTGAGATTCACTTTCATTCTGCCCTTTTGTTAAAATGGAAGAACAGAAAAGTTGTCTGGTCTGAAACTTTTGATGGCCCCGAGAGCTTATGGTATAGACAATGTACCTTGAGGCTTAGTTTCCACAGTTTTCTGCCTGAATGCCTTTCCCCACTTAGGACTTTTAATAGCATTTCACTGAGCGCTTGGCTTTATCCTTCCCTGCAAGCAACAACTGCCAACCCCGCTCAGCCCTCTTAATCAAAGCCCGGGAGACACGTTGCTTCCAGACGAGACAACAGAGCCCTGACTGCTTCTGTCTACCCCCGTTCTGTATCCGCTCATCCCTCCACTGGAAACAGAACCCTTCGTTCAGAGGGAGAGCACAGTGCCCCTCAGGCCTTGGCCTCTCTAGTGTGCCCAGTGCCACCAGCATTCAGCCAACCTCCTTCGAGATGCAGAGCTGAGCGGGTTGGTTCTCTTACAGCCTGCCCCACGTAGAGCAATCTACACCTCAGCCACCTTCACCACCGTCTCAGAAAGCCGTCTCTCCCGACATGCTCCCCTAGTGAGTAGTTTTTAAACTTTGCATGGAGAGACACTGTGCAGAAGAAAAGATTAAAAACCTTTCCAGAAAGCACGAGGCAGCTCAGCTTGAAGCGTGACAGGCTGTTCGCTTCAAAAGTCCACCTCGGAGAGGACCCCTGGGAACTAGCCACTGCCAATAGCTCCTCAGTTAAGGGGTGAGGCCTGGGTCATCGTGTGCACCATCTTCTGCATGTCTTGTACCGGTAGCCGCAAGTTCTATGAGTTCATGGGTGTGATTCTTATGTCACGTACAGAAGATAGACTTTCAGAGAACTTCTCCCTATCCCCCCCAGTACTTAAATTCTTTCTATCTCCTTCCCTCAGTGTTCCCTGAGCCTTCGTGAGGGGAGGGGATTGATACAGTGTCCCACTGAGGGCTGAGCGGTCTCTCTCTTGCTCTCACACCATGACCAATTGTGCACTCACTGCAAAGAAAGACTTCTCTGATCAAGGACCAGAACGGGCCTGGTCTATGAGACAAGCATTGGTACTGAAAAGCTACTTTAACATCATGACCATTTGCCAAAATAATAATAGCAGAATGTATCCTAAGGACCGCAATCTCCCCAGCCATGTTCTTCAACCAGGGTTACAGTATCAGAACTAAAATCCCTTCCTATGAAGCAGGCCTCAAACCCAATCAGAAAGTAGTTAGTCATCCACGACAGCTGTACCATTATTACCTGTGAAGCAGGCCTCAAACCCCATCAGAAAGCAGTTAGTCACCCATGACAACAATGCCACCACTGTGCCCACGGCCATGCCATGTCTGGCAGGTTGGTAATGCAGGATGCAGGGTGTGGTGCTGTGTAAGATCGCTGGTGGGTTTCCTCTCAGGCAGCAGCCTTCCAAACACCAGCCAGCACCCTGTAAGGTCATCCACGGGGAAAGCAGACCTTCACGTCCATAGACGGCAGCTTGTTTCCCTACTTCTGAGTGTGCCGGGCCGGCTGAGATGCAATCAGGTCACCTGGAGGCTCTGGGCGCAGCATAGGTGGAAAGGAGTCTGGATGCATGCCCTACTTATGTTCCCGCAGAACCCCCAGTGGCCCTGGGAGTGCATTTTGAAAGCTGCTAATCTAGGTCAAATCCTCTGGTTCCTATCTGGAAGGAGCAGGAACCCAAGGAGATTAAGCTGTTTGCTGACGCTCCACGGCCATTTAACAGTTCAGCGAAGACACACTCAGGCCTCCTGCCATAATTCTCTGCCTTGTGCTATTATTTTCTACGAAAACACAAGGGTACCATGATAATGGTTTCTTGTGTAACAGTGAAAAAAAAAAGAAAACATAAAACTCAAAGTTGCTCTTATGCTGTGTGGCCTGAATCTGTCTGTATTCTGATCTCTCAGGGAGCAACTTTGCATGGTGCAGATTTTCTGGCTCTGCCAATCCCTGAGACTCTATGGGAGGCCACGGTTGCCTCTGTGAGGGGCTGGAGGCAGGGTATGCTGGGATGCCTGAAGAGGGCTGGCTCCCCAACTTCTCTCCTCACTCTTAGCTGGAGGTGAGCCCAGAGCTTTATTGCCCAAAGAAGATCACGCTGCACACTAGAGGCTTGACACCCTATCTGGTCCTACGTTTGCCTCCTCTGGTCCCTTCCTGATTCCCACAGGACACATCCTGATCCACATGGCTTTACAAGCAGGAGCTGGGAAGGCGAATCCTCACTTACATCACTCAATAATGTGTGTGTGCATAAGTATGTGTGCATATGTATGTGTGTGTACATGTGTGTACACATGTGTGTGAATGTGTGCATGAATGCGTATTATGTGCGTGTGCATATATGTGCATGTGTGGGGATGGGATGCATGTATGTATGTTTGTGGGTACATGAGTACATGTGTGTGTGTCAGTGTGTGCATGAATGGGTGTATATATGTGCATGTGCATATATGTGCGTGTGTGTGTGTGTGTGTGTGTGTGTTGCTGTTGGTCTGTCCAACCATCTCTTCTAATGCCCAGTGGAGGAGGGAGGAGGAGGGACCTGGCCAAGGCTTCTATGCTATTCCTCATTTAAGGACACCTTAACTCCTCTCTGGCTCCGTCTGCATTTTCCACCGTGAACTCTGGGCATGTTTGTACTGGAACTGTGGCAGAAGCTGTGCCCCTGGCCAGACTGAAGGGAGGAGAGAAGGCCTCTGGGCTCCCAGGGCTGCCACTTACATTAGTCTCTTTATCTAGGCAGCTTCCTGGCCTATGTGAGTCAGGCCACTTCCCTCTGCCTGTCACTGATAGAGCCTTTGCCAGCTCCGCTCGTGGTATTCCCACGGGCAAGCCTTGCCTTATCCAGCCCGAGGGGAATGACTGCACCCGCATGCGAAAGAATGCTTCCTCTTCTAGAAAACGAAGCCACACTTTGTTTCTATCATTCCCATGGCCCAGCATTACACCCAAATTACAGTCGTTCAGGGCTATTTGTAAAAGGTACCATTATCCTAAACCCACACTGCCCTTCTTTTCAGGAAGAAAGTGAGATCCCTGCCGGTGTGTTTGTGAAGGAGCCGGTTCCCGCTCCTGCAGAAGGCAAGGAGGAGCTGGCTGAGGAAAATAAGTCCTTGGAGGAGGCACTGCACAACGTGGAGCTCTCCTCCGATGATGAATTGCCCTGTGATGAGGAAGCCCTGGAAGACAGCGCCGACGAGAAGCTGGAAGAAAGCAGGGCGGAGAAAATAAAGAGATCCAGCCTGAGGAAAGTGGATAGCCTCAAGAAAGCCTTTTCTCGCCAGAACATCGAGAAAAAGATGAACAAGCTGGGCACAAAGATCGTATCTGTTGAGAGGCGGGAAAAGATTAAGAAATCGCTCGCATCCACCCACCAGAAAGCCTCTTCGGGGATAAGCTCCCCTTTCAAGGTTTCTCCCCTGTCCTTCGGTAGGAAGAAAGTCCGAGAGGGAGAAAGCTCAGCAGAAAATGAGACCAAGTTGGAAGACCAGAGCTCCTTCACAGAGGGTGTTTCCGAAGCATCCCTCGCCAGCGGCAGCGCGGAAGATGGTGAGAAGCCGGCCTTGAAGGGGAACAGCTCCGGCGTGGGCAGCAATGCTGACCTGACCATTGTGGAGGATGAAGAGGAGGAGTCGGTGGACCTGCCGCAGGCGCAGCAGGTGTACGATGAGAGCGGTTATGTGCTCAACTCCGAAGAGATGGAGGGATCCGGTGAGAAACAGGTCCAGCCGGCCGTGCTGCAGGTGGACCAGACAGCCTGAGTGCACCTACAGCCAGCACACCGGGCCAGGTGCAGAGCCCAGCACTGGCTCAGGGGCATCCTCATCCCAAAAGCCACCTCTGCACCTCTCCATCTCTTCCTGCTCCCAGCTGTGACTGTCCAGGCCATAAGCACTGGTCATGCCCTCAGATACACACGAAATCAAGGAAGCACATCGCCAGGGGTTCCACTTTTCATTTGCTCCTAAGGTCTGTTGCTGTAGAATTTCTCCAAGTTTGGAATAAGAAAGGGATGGGGCAGTTAAAAACCACCAATCAATTTGGCTTAGTCAGGAAAACTAAAGTAGATTTAAGACAGTAGTCATGAAATGTGATTTTTTTTTTCTTGTCATTCTATCAGCTTGCTGAATTGTGTAGCAGTAACATAGTGATTTCTCACCATGGTCTATGAATGATTAGTCTTCAAGTATGTGACCTAGAATACACAGAAGTCTGTACACTGAAAATACAACTCTGTATTTTAGGGGAAAAATATTTACAAAAGATAGCGCGTCATGCTCAGCTGATTATTCTCCTATAGGAACCTTGTTCATTCATTACACGTGGAGGGATTGAACAGGGATTGATCAGCTGTGATGGTCAGGTAAGGGCAAGGGGACTAGTAAGCTAAGAACCTAGGGTGGCGCGATTGGAACACAATAAACGGAATACAAAGGAGACCAAAAAGAAGGACGCTGCAGAGAAAAAAGGATGTACTTAAAAATGAAGTATTGACATTTTAAATCCATTTTACTCTTTAATAACAATACTAAAGAGGTTCATCTGTCCTGCAAGGATGTCTCTTAGCTTCCCAGTGCTTTCATAGTCTCGTATTATGTACTATAACCATATATTCTGGTATAAAAGTCGTGGTTCTTCTTGCTAAGTGAATGGCAGCGCACATCCTCTGTGAAGACGTTAAAAAAGATGTTGTCTCTTCGAAATAACACAAGTCTGAAATAAGTAGCATGCACTGTTTGGCCAGTCACATAGTTTCTTTAATATTTTTCCATTCTGAAGTGACCGTTCCACTCCAAATACGATATAGGTTGATAAGGTATTCAAACCTGCATGGGTCGGAAGAGAAAATTCCGGTTTTCCTTTTTATATACATACTGGTAATGTCATTCCAGGTAATACTTTATTTATACATTAATTTTGCAGGATACTAATGTGTTTTGGCTTGTAAAAGCAGGCTAGTATTTTATGTCATGTGTTCGTTCATTCTGCCTAACATACTAAAAAGTTGCTTTCAGTATTTTTCATCACAAGATGCCAACATTTTGCTAAGTTTCACTGTAAAGATAGGAGGCCTGGGGCTTGAATTCTCGGCTCTGGATGTGCAGTGCAGCTGACCTGACTGACTGACAGGTGGAGATGACCCCAGTGCCCTGGCAGGAGGAGGTGACTCCAAGCAGCAGTCACAGGTGCCTCTGATTGCAAGGGACAAGACAGAAACTGTGGGTTGATGGGTAACTTCCCCGGCTCTGCTCCTATGCTGCAGTGGATGTAACCCCAAATACTGACTTGTTGAACTAACAATGCCTGTGTGAAATAAGATCCAATAAACCAAAAATAAGAAGTGTATAAATAAGAAGTGTCGGTGTGTTTGACCAAAACAGCCTTACAGGCAGAAGGAGCTGATTTCAAAATGCTTGCCGGATGTAATGGAGATGGTGATTGTTTCTGTCTTGGTTCCCCTATTAACTCTGCTTTCTCCCACCCCCGCCCCCCGCCCCATCACATTTAGAAATTCAGCACTGGTTCTTCAAGTTGAACTTTCTTGACACCACCCTGCCAGCTCTATAGCAGGTGAATTGATTGCAGCAGCTTGGCGAATTTGCTAGTTCCATCTGCACCTGGTAGAATTGCACCAGGCAGCCCTCCGCTGCGGAACCTGTTGAGCTGTGCATCCAGATACACTTTTGTCTTCTGCGGGGCCAGGGACTGTATAGACTCTTTTACCCAGCATGTGAAGCAGGCTTGTTCCACCTTCTGTAGAGTGACTGTCACTTAATGTGCCTGATGAGCTGGGGGAATCCACGGGCCCACGACACAGTTCTATCTCCCGTTGCAAACATACTTTATTTATTCCTATGCACGAGATGCTTGTCAATTGAAACTGCATGCAAACATCCTAAGTTTTACTGGCAATCACATTTATTCAATGTTCCACAGTCGAAGCTTTAAAACCCCAAGCAATAAAACAGAGAATTAGGCCAGATAATTGTTGGGAAATGCATACCATAGGGATGAGAGCAAGCAGCATTTGTGGTGATGGGACCTATTGGTTTTGTATTATGGTTGAATTATTTGCATACTGGTGAGGCTGGGAAGTCCCCAAATTAGATATGTCTTCTTCCCATCCATCCCATAAACCACCCCTAACTTCATGTGCCCGGAGCTCAAGAACTCGGTTAGTGTTCCCCAAATACCAGCTTCACATTAATAAGGACTGGGAGCTGTATTTAGGAGTGGAATTCAGCTGTAAGATTCTTCTCATAGGTGCATCACAAAAATCACACACACACACACACACACACACACACACATACAAACAAACAGAAAAACCAAGAAAAAAAAAACAAAAAAAAAAAACGAGCAACAAAATGTGAGTTTTCTACAGGATTCATTTCTTTTAAACTTATAGGTCGTTCATTGGGCATCTTTCCCTCTAACTTAGGCATCCAGTTTTTAGAATATGAGGAAGTAAAACCAGACTGAGGCTAAGAATTAGTCCTGCACAAATGCACGCTTTCTCGGCCCTAGCTTTCCACTGAGAGACTCCGCTCTAGCTCCGCCCATCCACCGCGAGGTTTGGGATTTGTATGGTTCTGTCCACTAGGAGCAAACGAGAGCTGCTGCTCAGCCAAGCCTCCGGTGTTAAGTAAAGGTTATCATGAAAGTCGTTTTCTGCATTAAGACACTAATGCCTGAGCCCAGTTAATTCCTGCTCGAAAGTTTGTTTACTGCCCTCCAGCCCAGATCTAAGTGATTCTATATTGGAGATTGGGAGTGTGAAGAATGGAAGTGCGGGCAGCCATCATTATTAACAGTGCCATAGCAACCGCAAGTCCTTCCCTAAAGCCCAGGACTCCGGGACTGCAAAACACGCTGTCAGTGAAATTGGCATTGCGACCTTTGTGGGTTGCTTGATCCAGGTGTCCAGATAAAGAATTCTGCAGTCAGCAGCTCAATCCTAAAGGGACCAGGCAGAAAACTCACGCCATTAAAGGCACTTTATCCTTTACTTTAACCATTGTGTTGTCTTGCAGTATTTGCAAGCCCAAAATTATTCTTAACTCTGCACGCAAACTGCCCAATTAAGCAGTCACACCTTTCGAAGCCCGCATGATGTCCATATATTTATATACTTTCCACTGTACAAATCGATTTGTTAAATATTTATAGAGCAAAGCAACCTTTACTCTCGTTCATTTGCTGACATTCTTGAGTGCTTTGGGCAGAATACACAGAAACTGAAAGGAAAGAACCAATAACTTTTATAGTTTCCTTGCTTCAGGTTGAGCACCCCAATGACCAGCAATTCTATGTACCTAGAACAAGTATGATCTCACGTATGCAGAATCCTACCGGGAAAGTACTGGATTTCCTCCCTTTTAATAGAGTAAGAACTTGAGATGTTGCGGTTAACTTACTCTGAGTGGTAAGGTCAAGAGGAGGGACTCTGGACATTTTTTAAACATTCAGTGCATTCTCATTTAAATGGAAACTGTATCTCTCTGATCTGTGCAGCGCAGCCCAGTTTTGTGGCTGTCAAAATCCAAAAATGTTAGAAGAAGGCACCATGCCTGCACATAATTTACGCAATCCTCCTACACTTTAAATTGTCTCTAGATTACTATCCCCTAATACAACATGCACATTTTCAATTTCTTTATATATTTTTGTTTTTATGTATGTGTGTGTACCTGGATTGGTTGATGGCACCACAGGTCCGCAAGCTCCTGGGAGGACAAAGGGCAGTGGATCCCCTCGAACTGGAGTTACAAGTGGTTGGGAGAAGCCTGGTGTGGATGCTGGGACCTGAACCCTCTGCCAGAGTAGTAAGCACCCTTAACTGCTAAACCCATTTCTCCAGCCCAAACAATGCACACACTTCACCCAAGAATTCTTATACCAAATTGTTTAGAAAGTAAAGACAAGAGTAAAAGATCTTTACATTTTAACACTTAAGCGTTTGTTTTTTTTTTCTGGTTGTTTTTGATCTGTGGTTGAACCCACTGATGCAGAGCCATGGATGCAAGGACCAACTGCTTTTTGTGTGAGGGCATATGACTTGGCCAAGTTAACATAACTTGTAGGGAGTTTCAATGTGCCATCCCCAATCTGAAATCCATTCTGCTGGACAGACTCCTAGCTATGGCCTAACTGTGCTTATTATGAATTGCTTTTTTAAGCTCTCAATGATCTGCCATTCACTCCGTTTTTCTCCTTTCTCCGGCATCACAGACAGCTGTACTTCATAAATGTTCCTCATGATTGTCATTTCAGGGCCTTAAACACACACACATAGCTGATGGATTTTGGAGAACTGGTCTCAGGATTTTTTTAAGACCACATAGGGACTCTTTAGGTCCTTGGTGTCATTATCAGGGCCTGCAGGGCTCACTTTAAGACGGGGTTTAATAAGAGCAAGCTGTCAACAGATAGATCCTGCAAGTTGTTCGTTCAAAGATGGCTCATGAGGCCCGCCTCAACCTCTGTGTGTTCTGGGAATCATATTCCTCCGTCATTCTTGAGAAATTGCTATGATCTACTCAGATAGACCTTGCCTCATAGGCTGGTAACAAGAGAAAAGTTAGTACATGTGGAGGGCCGCAACCACATTCTCCATTGCTTCAAGGGACAAAGGTAGAGATTGACCTCTGTGACCTCAAGGTGTGGTGGTACACGCCTTTGGTCCCAATGCCTGGGAGGCAGAGACAGGCAGATCTCTGTGAGTTCAAGGTGTTGTAGCACATGCCTTTAATCCCAGCGCATGTGCTTAGTAACTTACTACTGCTGCGTCCCTGCCTACTTCCGAGGCATCATCTGGGATAATGGGCAGTGGACCAATCCAAGAGTGACACGTCAGAAGCGAAGACTGTTTCCTTTATAAGGGCTGGGTTCCCCTCATTCTGGGTCTCCGCCATGTAAGCTTATGCTCTCCCTCTCAAGATGCATTAAAGCTTTGCTGCAGAAGGATCCTAAGTGTCCCGCATCGTTCTTGCGGGCGAGATGGTAGCACGGGACAAGTACAAGGTAGGAAGGAGGAGTTTGGAGGTTAGGTGGCCCACCGTGGCACGTGACCCTTCCAGTGGCTGTAATTTCTATACTACTGTGAAGCTTTCTTCTTGGGAAAAACAGAGGCAAGGTTTAAAAAAAAATTGCTTGAACCCCTATCTCTATGGGCAAGAAATCAAAGAAAGCCCTCTAGGTCAGCACTCATTCATTGAGGTGGATGCTGCAGGCAGCAACTCCCTCTACAGGCTTTGGCAGTGGCCACTGATTTAAATGCCGGAAGAGCTCAGACAGAAGTGTCCAGCTTAAGCAGGTGGTGGCAGCTGTGGCCAGGCTTTCACCGTGTGGGCTTTCTGGTGAAGCAAGCTTGCAACCCGCATGCCTGAAGGCATGCGTTCTCCTAACTCCCACAAAGGGAGAGTGTTCGAGAAGTCACAAGGCTATGCGAC